TGCAAAATTATTATACCTGAGTGAAAAGGAAGTAAGCATGCTACCATCCTTACAGATCTCTGGTTTATCTTAATATTTTTCTGTCTCATGGTATCAAAAAGCTGAACAATTGCTTCAAATGTATACAATGGACCAGACAGTGTATTCCCGCATATTACGGCTTTCCTGTAGGGTTTCTCCCTCCAAATAAAAGGGCACATTTCAGCTGAACACAGACAATATCATCAGCCTTTCCCAGAAGTGTTTTGTTGTGAGATTTTTCTGGCTGATTTGTATGAAACATTATGCACTTGGCAAAAGAGTTGAAGGGGCAACAGGTTCAGAAGAGCAGTACTGTAATTTCTGTTCGATCATCTTTGGCACTCCATTTCTGAGGGGTGCCACGAGCCCATCAGCTGCAGTAAAAGGCACATGGTCATATTCAGAGAGAAAAGAACCATCGCTTTCTGGACAGTAAGTGAGATTCTTCAAGATGTCGTAATCAGAATAGTTTCTACCATCTGCTTCCCACTAGCCCTTCCTTTCAGACACCCTGCATTACAGACTTCTAGTTATGAGAAACTGAAGAGAGGGCATGGCCCCTCCATGATGTTGGTCCCCAGAAGAGGGTGTAAGGAGGCACAGATGGCCTCAGTATGAACTGCTTGACCAAAAATTTCCAACTGGGAGCCACATGAATATGCACATGTACAGTTGAATCCACAGCACTGGAAAAATAGTTATGAGATGACAAGTCTGTCCTGTTTCTAAATATTCATTAACAGGTCTTAATGCCAAAATAGTCAGAATTGATTCCAGTGCAATCAGGAGCTGACACCCAAAGTGTGAGACACGTACTTTCTGAGAATTTGAAAGAGTAGAGATTTGCCCATGAATGACCATTTTTAAAAGCAAACTGCAAAGCCAAACGAGAGAAAATATTTTTCACTGGTTTATTGTTATGTTTTAGAAGAATGGCCTTGAGGGTGGAGTCCTTTTTTTACTGCTTGTTTTTTACTTCCCTCTATTCTCAGGAGATTTTTGGCAGGGTCTTTGGAGGATATGAATTGTGATGTCACCAAAACAATGAGCCTGGACCACAGTTCTCCCTCAACAAACTATCTGAAATCCTTCTCTGTCTGGATGCACTCCTACAGACGAGCTTGCTTAGCTTGGCTTGCTTTGAATTCTTGAGTTATTTGGTTGGAGTAGAGGTGTGTTGCCAGAGCCGGGAGGGAAGAAGTGGTGTCCAGAGCCAGGGATTGTCCTTCTGGGGAGGAACTTGGCTGAAGACCCATTTGTACAAAGCCCTGCAAAAACCTGCAGCCAGCTCTGCACTTCAGTTAAATGTGTATCATTTTTCAACACAGTTAAGATTGATTGCAGACAACAGCACTAAAAATACAGTTATTTGTAACACATTGTATGAAATTTGATGCATATAATATTTGTTAGCAATACACTGTCAGACAGAGAGCACCAGACAGGGTCCTTATTCCCAAAGAAGAGATCAGACACAAATTCATGTCTTTCACCACAGGCAGATATTTATTTACAAGACTGATTTGCTCTGTAGCATTATAAACTACACTTAGCTTTCAGACATTGGCATGAATTCTGGACGCAGTGAGGAATTCAAGAGAAATATTGCTTTGACTTCATAATGACAGAGTTTTGACCATTATTTTGGGTATGTAAGACTAGAAAAGTGACCTGGGTCATAGAACGCTCTGTTATAAACTAACATTTAATGTAACTCCATTTATAAATTTAATTATTTTCTTATTAAAAGATGTTTGGTTTACTTGATCCCATAATTCTGATTATTGTTTACAGTTGTAGTATTTGTTGACAGGAGCCACATCCTTTCGCAGTCTTTACTTATCTAAGCTTAAAATAGTCTATTTCTTCCACTTTCTTCTCATATAATAGGGCTTTGATTCCCCTGACTGTATTCCTAGCCTTCCTTTACACATTTCCCATTTTGATGTAATCTTCCTAAAGAGGGATAGCCAGAATTATGCTCAGCACTCAAGAGCTTTGAACTGTAGAATTGATAACTACCTTAAGAGTACCTACATTAAGATGACTGATGCATCCTAAAATCTCAATTAACTCTTTCCTTTTTGCTTTGAATTGTTGGATTATAATCACTAGCCAGGAGTATAAGATGTTCCCTGCAAACAACTGAGTTACAGGACGGGATTATTTTCTCTACTTTCTTTCAGCTGCTTTTACTTTTGCACATATGAAGATGTGTCAGTTGAGGTACACATGTAAACTGTCTGATGTGTGTTAAAGTAAGCATGATCATGAGCAGGTGAAATAATATTTCTGCTTATTTTGATAACTGCAGCATCTTCGGAGTTGAATACATGGACAGATGGAAGGAGCCTGTAACCCTCAAACATCAGGAACACCTGGGGGAAAAACAGCTTTGTAACTGGTATAGGAAGAGCCAGAGGAGACAGATGCTTGTCCTTACTATACTCTGCAGGAAGTCATTTGTGAAGATGGATAGTCTTGAATATAATACTGCTGCTTATTGAATTTTGCTCCCTTTAGATGTGCTTGGAGCAAAACTAAAAATGAGACAATCGTGTGAGGCAATTTATGATCCGGTGGAGAGTGGTGGTCTGGGAATGACCTGGTGTGTATTCCCTGTTTTGCCACCAGCTTGCTGTATAATTTGGGCAAGTCATTTCATCCTTCTCTACCTCAGTTTCTCCATCAAAAAGAAGTTAAATGAGATTTGCCTTCCTCTGTGTGGTCCAGCTACCTACAGATGAAAAGGTCTTATTTATTTTTCATTAAGTAATCAGTCACACAATCATTTAGGTTGGAAGTGACCTCTTGAGATCACCCAGTGTTTGAACACTCTCACAGTAAAGAAGTGTTTTCTTGTATTCAGATGGAACATCCTATGGTATAATTTGTGTGAATTGCCTCTTGTCCTGTTGGTGGACACTGTTGAGAGGAGTCTGGCTCCCTCTTCTTCATCCCCTCCAGTCAGGTATTTATAAACATCAGTCAGATCCCCCCTGAGCCTTCTTTTCTCCAGGCTAAACAGTCCCAGCTCAGTCTCTCCTCGTATGAAAGATGCATAATTATCTCAGTGGCCCCGCACTGGACTCAGTACAGTAAATTCATACCTTTCTTGAACTGGGGAGCCCAGGACTGGACACAGCACTCCTGATGTGGCTTCGTTGGCTCTGAGCAGAGGGGAAGGATCACCTCCCTCAACCTGCTGCCAACGCTCTGTCTAGCAGCCCAAGATGGTGTTGGCCGCCTGTGCTGCGACAGTGCGTTACTGGCTTACAGTTAGCTTGGTGTCCACTAAGACACCTAGGTCCTTCTTTGCAGAGCTGCTTTCCAGCTGATAAGCCCTCAGTGTGTACTGGTGCATAGGGCTTACTCCTTCCCAGAGGCAGGACTTTGCATTTCCCTTTGCTGAACTTTGTGATGTTGCTGTCAGCCCATTTCTCCAGCCTGTTGAGGTCCCTCTGGATGGCAACACAACCATCAGCTGCATCAGCCACTCCTCCCAGATTTGTATCATCTCTGGACTTGTCGAGGGTGCACTCCTTCCCAGTGTCCACTTCACTGTCCACTTACCTAACCTGTACATTGTCAGCTTGTTTATGACGAAGCCATGGGAGACAGTGTTAAAAGCCTTACTGATGTCAAAGTAAACAACATCCACTGTTCTCCCCTCGTTCACCAAGCTAGCCACCTCATGTAAAATGCTATGAGTTTAGTCAAGCATGATAGCTCCTTCCTAAGTTCAAGCTGACTTTTCCTAGTCCTTTTCCCAGTCACCACTTTGTTCTTCATGTGTTTGGGCATTGTTTCCAGGAGGATTTTCTCAGTCACCTTCCCAGACAATGAGAAGAGGTTGACCAGCCCGTAGTTTCCCAGATCTTCTCTCTTGTCCTTCTTGAAGACAGGGAGGCGTTTGTTCTTTTCCATTCTTCAGGAACTCCTCTCATTCACCGTGACCTTTCGAAGATAATCATGAGTAGCCTGGCAATGACATCAGCCACCTCCCTCAGTGTTTGTGGGTGCAGCCTGTCAGGGCCATCAGTTAAAAAACTTAGGAAGCAAAGAGAAAGCATTCGAAAGCTGTCCCTCTTGATAATCAGATGTTTTTTAACACAGATTGCATATTTGTCACACAAGGAGCTGTTCAGTGCCTGGACTACAAGATGATTAATAGGAAAATGTGACTCATGTTTTATTCCAAGTTCTGATACACCTGCTGTGCAGTGAACTTTTGCACTTGGAATATGAAGTAAGCCTGTAGTGTTTGTCAGTTCATTAACAGTATTTAGTTTTATTAAATTAGAGACTTTTGCAAAAATAATACTCTGCACAAATAATTATCTTCAGTATACTTTTCCCTTTAGTTTCAGTGTTGGTGTAAGCTGGTATCTATATTAATTTTTCTTTCATATGTTAAGCGATCAAAATACCATATACCTTTCTGTTTCTCTGTACAGTACTTTTGCATTTACAGACATACTTTTGAGTAAAACAGATTAACTGGATAGTAACCTCAGGTAAAAATAGTTCTGCAAATTAAGTTCTGTCTTTCATATCAGGCAGTTATTTAATTTATCCTATATTCTTCAGGATTTTAAAAGGTTGCTTATTGCTACTGCTGCTTTTGATAATAGAGGAGTACAATCCAACAGATCCTTTTATTGTGCAGGACTCTCTCTGAACTGTTTTCTGCTGGAGTATCAGTCCCTGGGCTGTGTCTTTATGTGCAAGGTTAAGGGAAACTGCAGATTGCTTCACCGAGCAAGGAAGACCTCCAGCACTTGGGCTTATTGCAAGGTGCTAACGGATACTTCATTTGGCCACGTCTGCCTTTTGGACGGGTGCACTATTCTGTGTGTAGGTTAGGGAGGGGAAAATGAACTGATCCTTGTTTTGTTTTAACTGGAAGATACAATACCATTTACTAAGGTTGTATTAAATATATTGTTGTGTTTTTCTTTCTTTCCTCGTTTCTGCAGATCTTTCTATGGAAGAATGCTGTGACAAGGGTATCGAATGGGCAAATAAAAACAGAATATGTACTTCTCTGCCATTAATATCCGAGTCCAGAGAATGCAGGTATATAATTCTGTATTATATATTAAACTATAATTTATATTTTCATGTAAAACCATGAGAATGGCATGTATGAAAACTGCTTTAGAAGATGAAGCACCCTGCTCTTAAATCCAGGTTTTTCAAATCCACATCTAGCCTTGGGGAGTACCTACTTGAGTAACTACTTTTCTTCCATTAAGTCCTTAAAACTGTTGCTGTTGGTTCAGTGTAGTGTCACCCAGCTCCAATCTGTTTGACACGTACTGTCTCTTAGTCAGAAGTTTTTCCACTGTACTGTACTCGCAGGGCTTGGACTCTGCCTACACTCAATACATGTCAGTGTGGCTCCACTAATGTCAGCAAAGCTTCTTCAGGTTATACTGGTTGTGAATCTAGCCCAGTGATGGTCCAAATTATTGGACAAAAGTTTATCAAGAAACAACAGATCCTGCACATGAATAATCTATGGATGGAATATATGTGTAAGACAGCCTTTTAAAATTGTTTCTCCTGTATGGCGCCACACAAATAATTGTTGTGCTGAATTCTTAGCTGAATTGCTGTGTGGAGGAACTTAAAGCTTAAGTCAAGGAGATTCCTAGTTATATAGAGTGTCCAACTATTTTCAAATGTATTTGACCGCAGGTAACAGTAACTTTTAGTTAATAAATAGATTTCTTAATTCTACTGACATTTAATAGGATACTAATATATATTCTAGCAAGTGAAATAATTAAGTTAAATGTTAAAATTATTTACACAGTAATATTTTGGTTATACTGAATCTCTTATATGGTTGGGGCATTCGTATTTTTTATGCCAATGACAGTTTGCATTATTTTTGCTGTTAAATGCACTTGTTACATTTAATTTGTGAAGCTAACAATTTGTGATTGGTAGTTTGAGGGGCAGTTACACAGAGGATTTTGTATTTAAAACTCATTACATTGCTTCCCTCTATCTTTTAGAATGGATTACAAAATGATTTAACCTTGGTAATTCTAGAAGTGTTGGATTGATCTTTATTACAGAAAGAATGTGTTTTGCAGGCAAGTCTGTCCATGTTTTCTGAGTTTTGCATTTATATTGGCATTGAAAGCAGTCTCTTATGCAGAAGAATTGACAGATAGGACTTACATCCCAATTTAGGAAATACTTGAAGAGTTAGAAGAGTTACACACAAAACAGAGGCAGGAAAAAGAAGAAACTAAGTTTATTGACCAATCTGGGAGCGAGAATCTTGATGATTTAATGATAATTTGATTAATGTGAGTTGCGATTCTGCTGTAAACGTAATTTATTCTTTTAAAGATTGCCATTTTAGAGTGTCTTTAGGACTTCACAGGAACTGAAAAAGCTTACTAATACTTTGTCTAGCTTTTGTGCATAAATGATATGTAATTAAGAAAATTATAGTGATGTAATGGTAAATCAGAAATCGGTAAGGCACATGTTCTGTGAGGGTCATGAGCACTTACTGACAAAGAAGTGGATAAATGCAGTTCAGTTGCATTTGTTCATGACTGTATGATAAATAAACATTGCTCCCCCTGAAGCTTGGCTTTACTCTGAAAATGACTAAAATTGGCACCTTTGACTGCTCTCTTTAATGGCAATAATTTTTTTACTCCAGTTATGATTTCAACCTGGCATATCTGTGAGAGGTGCAGAAAAATCACTTTATGCTACCATTTCAGACACAAAAGTAAGGGTCAAATTCTCCTCCTAATTGCTGGTATAACTGGAGCCAGAATGAACAGTGGGAAAGCATGATTCCCTTTGCAAGCATGTGAGGGTAATGACGCTGTTTTGTATATTTGTTCCTGCTGCTCGGAGACATGAATAAAACCAGGTTCATTGCACTTGCTGTGGTCTAGGCAGGTGAGAATATGGCACAGGATGCCTTACTGGTTACAGATTTCCCATTTAGGCACCTGCGTGCAGTGGGAGCTGCTGGGGGACGGATATTTATGATGTAGTTGTTTAAACCCCAGCTGGGATGTTTTGACTGTCTAGTGCAGCTCAGTGTTGGGCAGTGTTGATCATCTGACTTGGGGTGCGCTAAAAACCCATGGCCTCTGGGGTGTACAAACCCATATTACTTCATGCCAGATGGAGCTGTTTCCCTTGCATGTTTCAGCTTGAATTTGCAAGGTTAGCGGTTGAGTGCAAGGGAAAAATACATCGTGAAGTGAGCAGATTTGATGAAGTTACTGAAGTAAAAATGATTTTGTGTAGCTACTTTGCAAAGACCATGTGACACAGAACAGACTGGATGTGAGTACTTTCCCCAACACGCTTTACAAGAATTTACATGCTGGTTTTGAATCCTCTACTTAGAATAGTAATAACATAATGACATCTCAGATTCAGTCCTTCCCTCAAAGCAAACCCACAGCTAGAGTTTCTTTTGCTTTTCTTTTGTTCGTCTGAGGAACAAGCTGCCTTACTGAATTAGAATTGCACCCCCTTGTCTTTTTCCCAACCAGTTAAAGCACGTTCACAGTAATCAAAAAGGGTTGTCACACGAGCACTGACATTCTCATATTTGCGGTGCATCCTAGAGACAAGCTGACAGTTCTGGGTTTCAGCATCTTTTTAGGATCCTTCCCTCAAAGTCTCTGTGGTTCTTGAGGGACTTGCTGTCTGTGTGAGCATCACTTGCTGAATATGGTACAGTTCAAAATGCAGATGTGCTCACTTTCTTGTCCTATACCACAGGTGATCCAGCCCCCTGTCTGAAGTGCACATGAATTCGTAAGATCTATTTGGCTATGTTACTTACTTGCATTTAAGTTGAAACAGGTCTCCAGGCTCAATGTCCAGTCGTGTCTGCAATCTCTTATTGTGGTTACTTGTCCCACAAATGAGTATATTTCATTGTACTCTGGGCAATGACAGTGCTTTTCTCTGTGTCTTCATGACTCAGTAAATATGAGTGTAGAGTTTTAATGAATAATATCTTTGGCTGTCATAACAGCAGCTTTTTGGCCATTCATCCATTTTCTTGTGATGTGGTTAAACTCACAGCAGCTGGAAACGGCTGCCCTTTATTTTTGGAACTCAACCTGCCCAATAAATCTCCCTTTAAAACTGAAGAGTTTCCCCTGACCAGAGCTCTTAGCAAGGGAACTTAATTCCTAGGCCAGAAACAGCATATCTCCATATGAGAATTGCATGCCTTTAGCACTCTGTAAAGTCCTGTTGGAGTTACGTTGGGAATAACATTATTTATTATTAGAGTTGCAAGAAAGACGAAGCCACAGAACACTCTGCTAAGATACTGTGCAAAAACAGAACAAAAAGGTGGTTTGTGTTCCCAAGCAGAGACAAGTGGCAGCACTTGGGTACAGACCCAGACGGGAACGCAAGGAAGCAATAAGACAGGAGTGTTTGGAGTGATAGGCACCAGATACTTAACTGCTTATATTTGTTGATTTATGCCGTTGTAAGTCTTGATGAGCCTGAGACTTTGGACATCAAAGTTGTGACAGTTTTATATCTGAAACAGCTGCTTAAAGTTATTTTTGGAGAAGTTGTCTTTCTTAATTATTAGCTGTTCTCTGTAGCCAGCTAAGTGTGCCTCACGGTCACTAAGATTTTAGGCTTCACAGTCAGAGGGATAGAAGAACAGTCTGCTATGTTGTCAGGGTTTTATTGCCACTCATTTAGGATAATTTGCTTACTTCACTTTGTGAATAATGTGAGACTCAGTCCTCCTCCTCTGCCACAATGTTATCAGTATTGTTTCTCTACATATTGTATGCTATCAATATAATTTTACCCTTTAAGAAAACTTTTATTTTGTAATCTACATAGTTTTTTATGGATTGCAGCTGACTAGTTTTGAGGTTTGTTGATTCAATTATTTTTACTTGAGTCCTTTGCTAATTTATAACACATAATCAAATAGACACATTTTCATTGTTGAGGCACTCTTTATTATCTTCATTTGTCATATTGTATCATTCATAATACCAGATCTTGCTCTTGCTCTTAATTTTCCTAAATTCATTTCTGTTGCACATTAAACTACAAACTGAAAGGATTAAGGGTAAAAGACCCAGTTTGTTTTTTCAAAATAATCCTGGAGTGGAATAATTCCATTTTTAATTTTAATAATTTTTGTCCAAGACCTTTCACTGTGCACATGAATAGCACTGACATAGTTTGAAGACAGGCTAATAAGTAGAAGGGGAGAGGCAGAGTGTAATGAAATTAGGCTGACAACAAAGACATTGTTTTCAAGAGCAAAGTTAAATTTTAATGCTTTTATGGAAAGAAATTAAAGGAAAATTAGATGATTGCGAAATCTGTGCTGGTTTAGGAGTGGATCCTCTGGGAAGGAGAATAATAAATGTGAAGGGGTTGTGGAGGTAAATGGACCATATAGATTTCAGCTGGAAATTTATTCCTTGAAAATCAGTAACATTGGTTAAATTGTAACAGAAAATAAAAGTGAGACTATAAAACATGATTTCTTAACTTGATTTACCTACTATTTAAATAACTTTAATTTTAGATAAGCATTGGCAACAATGAATGAGGGTTTTTGAAATGCCTGAGTAATTTCTGTTCACTAGTGAGCCATGAATAAAACTCATCATTCAGGGATGTATAAATTTACTTTAAATATACAGAGTGAATGCCAGTTATGAGGCCTCGTGCTCCTAGGGATTCCATATTTAGTGTTTTAAGATTCCAGCCATATTTTAAATACTTATTTATTGCAATAAAGTGCTGTTGCACTGTTTTAATTGAAAATCAGAATATGGCAGATAAGGAAGAAGTAGCCTTTGGCTTTTTTAGTTATTAGGAGTAATTAAAAAAAAAAGCCAAACAAGAAAGCACTCCTCTACTTTCTCTTTTTTTAGAGACCAACATTGTAAGCCGTCCATAGGCATGAAGTTAATAGGAATGCTACATGGGAAGGGTTGAAAAGTTTTACACAAAGAGACAAATCTAGATGTCCTATTGCCCACTAGAGATGGCTCCTTTGCTGTGAAGTAGAAAGCGGGTATGTATTATATTAGAGTCTAAGCCAGGGAGACACACATAACTTAGCAAAGACAGGGAGTGATACTCTTCATCTCAAAAGTCTGGGAGTCTGAAGACTTGCTTGTGGTGGCATGCTCTAGTGACCATCAGCACGTGGGCTGGTGTGGAAAGGGAAGAGGATGGTCAGCTGGGTAGGCTAAGTTGCAGCCAGAAGACTAGGACTGTGAGGGTTTTTCTAGCATTTTTCTCTTCCATCTTTGAAGGATTTCTACCTCTGTTGCAGCCACACAAGTGTTTACAGTCCCAAGCAATATTTGCTACCAGTGCAACTTCACTGTAGGATTTGGGCAATGAAGCGTGATTTTATTATTGTTCTGAGAATGAACAAAGGGTATTTTAATCTAGTATTCAATTGATGCTTAATTCCTTATTACAGTTGGGGTGGGCCACATGACTTATGAATACAGCTGTGGGAAACGTTTTAAGACACTTTTTTGTTTTGGTTGAAATTGCCAACTTGTCAGAGATTTCAAAGAGATGACTTGTATTTGAAAGAAAAAAAAACACACTGGAAATCAAACAGATCTACTGAAAGACTGCTGTTGTTTGTTTGTTTGTCTGTGGCTAACATATCTAGCTCCTCAACGGGACTTGGAGGGCTAAAGGAGCTGGAAAGTCTCAGCTCCCACACTCTTGGGCTTGAAGTTCAGGTTTTTACAGGCTTCCAGAGTCCTGACAGTCAGACCACCCCAGAGCTGGGCAGGGAATGGAAATTCTGCTTCAGAGGGAATTTCAGCAACAAGAAAAGCTACATATTCTTCCAAACTGGAACTAAATCAAATGTCAAAAACTTCAAATATTCTGCCAAATAAAGTTACTGTCCTAGGCTTAACTTCTTGCTATGAATTTAGAGACTATTTTTTGAATAATTTGTTCATTAACTTATCCTGGTTTTTGTTCCTATGCATTGAAGTCTCATAGCTGGTTTTGTCTGACTGAGAACTGCACAGTCAGACCATTACAAAATCTAATAAATAAGAGTTGGGAATCTTCAGGAATATAGATTGACAACCTCGCCTCACCAGTATGCACAGAGATGCAGAATCTGAGCCTAATACCCACACGGCCTCTGCTTTTAGTGGGCTGGACTGGATGGCCCGACCTTAGAGCCAAGGGAGTCCCTCACGCTGCCTGGGAGCTGAAAGCTCATCCTGTGGTCCTCCAGAGCAGGGAAGCTCCTCCACAGCTGATGCATGGGAATCCACTGACCTCGGTGGATGACAGTAGAGAAGCCTGTAGTTCAGTGGTGCAACTAACCCACCCCTCTTCCTTCCAAAACTTCCAACAGTGTAAATAAAGACTTTGTAAGAGTAAAGGGTATTGGTTTGCTGAATATCTTTTTGTAATTTTATGTATTTGCAGGTAACCCTTGAAAAGATTTTACTTATCAGCTCAAATAACTAGAGTTGAGGAAGAAAAATAGTGAATACTCTTAACAGCAAAGAGGATGTGTTCAGTGTTGTTGGCCTGTAAGATGTATAAGATTTTCCCTGCTGAAAAAAGAAGTGCATTTTTAGGGTTTTTCTGTGCATTTCTTATAGAGCTCTAACATATCAGGGCATGTCGTTTAGGTGCCTCTGTTGTGCTGTAAATAGGATTTATCAGCTTGGATTGCTTTTGGGATAGTTTCCTTTCCCCCTAGCAACTCAGGTACCGTAGTGAAATTGGATTGTCACAAATCTGATTTGTTAATCTTTAACTTTTTTATCTGTTTCCCTGTGTCTGTTACAGGAGGTAGTGGTGGAAGAGCTTTAAATTGCAAGCTACACCCACAGTGCTACCCATCAAAGCAGAATTGCACATAAAACAAAGTGGAGGGAGGGGAGATACCTCCTTCAATGGGCTTTGCATTCAAGTGGCGGTAGCAATGGGAGTGGAGGAGTTTAAAGCCTCCTCATGTGGATTTTTTTTCCACAGGAAGGAGTTCTCAATTCATTCACTGAAACTGAACTAATATAGAATAATTTTATGAGCAGTGGAACTAAGCAAGCTGAGTGTCCTGCACATTTTAATCCTGTCTCAGCATCTTCCTGCCCTCTAGTACTTTTCTCTCTCTTGTTTTCCTTTGCCTCTTGCTTGCAAGACACTCTGTTTCTCACTATGACTTCCCTTGGTATCTTCACTTCTCCCCGTGTCTCCAGTTGTCCCACAGAGCAGCACCCTGAGCTTCCTTCAACATGCCATACCTGTTTGTTTGAGCAAGGGGCAGCAGGAGCGAGGGTAGGCCAGCCACAGGATTGCAGACTCTCACAATGTCCAGGGCCTGACTTCTCCCTTCCATCAGTTGGAGCACTGATTTCGTTCTTGCCATCCTCTCTTCAGCCACCAGCTGTCACAAAACCTGTGAGAATGCAAGTCCTGGAGACCTTGAACCCTGTGGCAAATGTGTTTCAAGTTACCCATTTGCTTAAAAACACTGTAAGGGCAGTCTGCAAGGTAGGCAGGCAGTTAAACTGTATTAAACATATCACCTAGACATTCTGCCTACTCCTAGAGGGTATTTTTACTTGGTAACTAAAATGTGTGCCCACAGGAACCTCTTTCCATGAGACTAGTACAAGCGTTAATTGTCAAAACTTGCATTATCCATTCTTGACATATATATGACATTCTTCTCCCATTGCTTCCATCCTTTTGTCAGCATGACTCAGGTACAGTGCTGCCACAGCCAGCTGGAGAAGCAGTACTGTTCAGATGGGATTGAATTTGCCAATGTTCGTGAGGAGTGTGACTCACATCTTGGTGAAAATTCCACTTGTGAAGATGAATACTTCAAGGTGAGATATCAGAGGTACTCCTGTTCGTCTTCAATAAATGGTATTGGCTGTTTAGATTGGTATTTAGGGTTGACCTTGAAGGTCACCATACCCAGTTTGATGCACATAAACGTTTTTTTCCCACCTACACCTCATGTCTCTGTTAAAGCTGTCTACTTCACGCTTCTCTGGAAGAAACAGTTCCTCACTGAGTGAAGCAGACTGTCTCATTACATTTAGCAGTGGCAGAGAGGAGAATGCAAAACGTTGGAAAGTCTTTAACAGGTAATTGGCTAGGAAACTACTTTTGCATAAAGAGAAGACATCAGTGCTGTAGGAAGGGATGGATAAGAAACTCAGATGCATTTCAGACTTTAGCTTTTGTTAGAGCTTCATGGCCTGGGGCCAAACTCAGTGGTTTTCACTATTGGTGGTCCAAAGGGGTAGGACTGGAGTTAATACTCTCAGTAGATTTATAATTCCACCTTGTGTATGTGTCCTTAGTTAACATGACTCCAGTTTACAATTGAATGGAGGCATCTGTAAGCTTGTGATAGTAGCGTTTGATATTAGAATAAAAATGCCTGTCATTGTCATCTGTCGTTAATCTGTGCCCTGCCCTCTGCTTTTATTACTGTCTTTGTCTCTCATTTCCTGAAAGAGAGCATATTCATACCACTCTGCGTAGTATTTTTGGAAAAAAGTTCCACCAGTAAGATCATGACCTTGACCATGACACAGTCATGAACAGCTCTGGTCCTGTTAGGGATTTCTTTCAGTGGTGATGAAAATAGATGAAAGTGACTTTAATTCTTCTTACTGCTCAAAAATGCTGAATGGTTTGGCTCATTCAGTTAAAAAAAATCTACTGTACAGAAGATGGCAGACAATGTCTGACTCACAAATTTCGTATCTCTTCAAAATACTGGCTTGATCATGTTCCTGGCAGTAGGCAGTTCCTTAGCTACAAACTAATCCACGTTCTTGCTGTGAGCAGCAGGAAGGTACCACACGCTGATGAGGCTGGCATTGTTAGGTTGTCACAGACTGGTCTGCGTGTGCAGCGTGATTTTGTCTCATGGTGGAGTGTGTCCCCCAGAGGGGACATATGTCACCTGTTGACCATGTCCAGGGTATGCCCTGCTCCTGGCATGGAGATTCCTCTGTGCAGTCTCCCTTTACCGTTAGGAAGCCTGTCCGCCCCCCTCTGAGCGTGGCGTGAAGAAATATTTAGTGCTCTATGTCAGTACTTTGAAAGGCTGTGAAGAGATGAACAAGGACTGTGATGGCAAGTACCCTGCAGATTGAAGTGTTTGCTGCCAGAGACAGGTTTATAACAGCAGCACTGTTTTAAACACATGCCACGGGACAACTCTAGAACAGAAGGCAGCTGTTCAAGGAAACCCACTTTCCCATCTATCGACTGATGTTTCCCTATGTGGGCTTGTCGGCACAAGGAAGAGGAGTTAATGATGAAGTTTTTTGAAATGGCCAGACTTCTTTAAAGATGGCGGGTTTTCATGGTGACAGCTGTATTATTAAACAAAATGGGCCGGGCCTTGATCTCTGGCCCTGAGAATAAACAGCTCAGCACAGCTCATGTCACGTAAACTGATGTTTTTCCCCTGCAAAACACAGTGCATGAGGGCTGTTGGAAATGCTTGCTGGCCTGTGCTAACCCCAAAATATGCTTCAGCATTGAGAGGATGTTAGTTGCCATTAGAGCTCACTAATATTTAAACATTACAGACGATTTCAGGACAATGCCCGAGCCCATATTCTGTTCCTGTTGAATTTACTGGTGTAAACATAGTCAGTGTTACTTAATCTTTATGAGCCATGTTCTGCCCCCCTGCTCCCTAATAGGAATATCCTACACTTAATAACTGTACTGAGGCAGCTGTAGGAGTACTTTTGTAGATAATGTCTTTGATCCATCATGGACATAGATGATTTTTGATCTAATATCAATGAACAATTCATCTTTTTTTTTGAATTTTGAATCTGGCAATTATGCCCTGCTATGATAAACAAACTCTTACATTGACACCATGCCCGTCTCAGACGGGCTTGAATTTTATTTCGCCTGAGTTGGTCTGGTTTTGTTTAGTTTAGGTGGCATAGGGAATCTTTTGGATTTTCTTTGTCTCCTTCAAGGAAGCAAAAAGAGTGATTTAGTATTTCAATTAGTAGGACTAATCACAGTACTTTGCAGCAGATGAGGCAGCTAATCTTTCTTTTGAATCCGAAACTTGTGATTGGAAAGAAGATAAAAAGACCATATTTTGAAAACACTTGCCTCAACTTTTACACTCGAAGGCGGTAGGCATAGTAATGATGGGCATAATTTTCCTCCTCTGCTTTTTTTGGAAGCATAGCTTTTCTTGCCTTGGAAAAAAGGATGCAAAATTAAGGATTCATTTTTAAAATCTTAATCAAAAGACATTAATCAATTTCCATATTTGTTGCTGATACAGGAGATGTAGGAATGATTTTTTGAAAGTTTCTACCACAAGAGCCCTGCAGAAAGGAGTGAAGCTTGTAGAAATTTTACCTTCTTTAAGGTGCTCAGACATTTTCCCCAAAATTTGTCATAGGTACTTTATGTTTCCAAAGATCAAGATAGGGTTTTATTTCCCCAGTTTTGTCAACAATACTTTGGTTGTGTATATTAGGTGAGCACAAAAGTTTTATTGCTTTGGACTGTTGAACATATTTTTAATTTTTGTTCAGATCTTCAAAAGTTCTGAAAGAATCTGATGAGTTATTTGTATTTTTCTCAGTCAGTTTTTCATAGCATCTACTAGTTAGTCTGGATTTCAGCAAGTGAGAGACCTCTTGTGGACAGATACACAAAACCAATGTTAATACGTTGTTCACCCTTCCAGATCTGGTAACTTGAATGGTGACATAAATAATAAAGAATTAATATAAAATCTAAGTAATTAAAGCAGCTTATTGATTAAAGCAATTTCTGGTGCTACCACAATTTCTGGTGCTATCACAAAAAAATCTTCAAACTTCTCAGGTGGAATGATTATTCCTTTATTCCTGCCATCTTTATACCTTCCTGTGAGAATTCAAGGTATGTGAGCAGTCAGCAGATCATAGGACTTCAAGTAGGGCACAGCTTTCTATCCAAAAATGAAGATTAAGGCATGGCTTTGAAGCTGCATGGGCTTTTGCTAGTTACAGTGGAGAGGGAAAGGAAAAAATGTTTGAGATTATTATCAGGATCACTTAAGAAGCAAAGGCTTCCGGGCAGTGAAATTGTGCAATAACAACTTGATCATCAGGTCGTACCATCCATGAAGGCAGTGATGGTTCTAGCAAATGGGTGAATGGTCATCACAACATGCCTCTGGGCAGCTGGCAACCGTTGGAAAATGGCTGCAAACACATCAAGAACTGAACTAATATGGAGTCTAGACTGCACTCTGGACTAAAGAATCAAAGTATTTCAGAATACGCCAACAGCCCTGAAAAATATAATGTGAAAAAGGATATATTGAGATTAATCTTACCAGGATAGTGATAGTTATAATGACATTCTACATTGTGTCTTCAGAAACCCAGAGTGCTGTGTGAACATGAGTTAAACTAGCCTTATGACTGCTATATTATTACCATTCCACAGCAGGAGAACTGAAAGAGAAGATGACTTTCCAAGTTCACAGGTGAAATATGTGGAGATGTATGCAGGTCTATAGAGTCCTGGGTGTGCTCTGAGCACAAGGCCATTCATCAGCTTCTCCACCTATTTTCTTTAGTTGAACAGAAATTGTTAGGTTTTGGGACTCCAGTTCAGAATCTTCTAGGGTCAATATTTAAAAGACAGTTACCATAAACATAAGTTAAGAAAACATTTGACACTTAACATCTCTGGATGATTTTGGCTGTGGTATAGCAACATAAATTATTATAATTATCAGGATGTTAAATCAAGATGTCTCATGCACAGAATAAATACAGGTTGGAACAAATGGTTCAATGCATACAATTATGGTAAATGAAGATACAGTCTCTTACAGACTTTGCAAGACTTAGCAAGCTCTGTACTTGAAGGTTCACATTAGCTGGAGACAGAGGTCTTTTGAGTGGTGGCTCAACCTGGAAGGAATAAAGAAGATAAGATTATTCAACACTTCAAGAATGGCAAGATTAACCATCATTCTTTACAAAAAAATCCAGAGAAACTCTGTAACTCCCAATGTGAGCATTGTGTGACAAGACAAAAAAATAGATTGAGTCAATACATATGCTTAACAATAGAAGCCAGTGAGGATATCCAGATGTAGATAGTCAAAATTTGGAAAGGCATCAGCTGTATTCAGTAACTTAAATAAGATTTGGTTATCAAAAATACATAAGCTTAAGTCAAACAGTGAATCTTCAGCTCAGTTTTAATTTCTGTCTTCTAATTTATGGTTGTGAAAATTGGAAATCTAACAAAATTATAGACAGAGGCTAAAAACTTTGACAAGGATTCCTCAGGAAAATATTAGACATGTTAGATATAATAAATATTCAGAGATGTTGCGGTTCTTGGAAGAGATCATCAAGTATTTACTTCTAAAGCCATGCAGAAAAGCCAAAAAAGATGGAAACATCCCAGACATATTAGTGATGAAACCAGAGTGTCTGCCACTGGATGGAAGTAGTTGAAGAACCAAGTAAGGTAGTGAGGAACCATCCCACCAAACAGTAGTTAATAAGGGAAGACATGTGTCTTAACGTTACGATGGTCATGAAAACAACAGCCCAGCACTGGCCGGAAGGGAAGAGTTCCTGCTGTACAGCATTCTGCAGCAGGGAAAGAATTCAGTTGTGTATTTAAAGACAAAGTACAAAATAGCATGCTTACATACTTCAGAATGCTGTAAAGTAAAAAACAGTTGAAAAAACAAGGAAAAAGGATTTTATTATTTTACTTTCACTCTGCTCTAGGTTTTAAAAGAACCCTTCCCTGCATTACAGAGAGAAAAACATGTATAATACCTTATAAAGGAAAACTTACAGGCAGAGGTATACATCTCAGCGTAATGAAAGAAATGTAATAGTTGCCTTCTTTTCAATAGGCATGGTGCTTAAAGCACCAAATTACAGAAATTTAGTTCAATGTTTAGTTATAGTCCAGTTTCTTCAAGCAAATAAAGAGTCTGTAAGAATAATAAAATTAACAATAAAAGTTTAAATCTGCTTTTACATGACAGTAGCAATTGGCAGACACCAGTTCCAGAGAACCAAACATCATTGCTGCTTTCTAACAACAAGGAAGAAAACTGAATAAATCAGCGGTGTCCCCTTAATTTAAAATAAAAGAAAACCTCCCCAGGATTAAATTGTCCCGTGTTCACTTCTATGGTGTATTCCAGGGCTGTAGTTCAGGAGGTCTGGAAGAGATGGATCATGTTTCATTGCTGGAAGCCATCTCAGAGCTGTGATGCTTTTAAATAATGTTTTGCTATGTAGTCTGTTTTTTGGAGCAGAACAGCTTCTCTTTATAACCTTTTAACATTAAGCTTGGATGAATCATGTTTATTCACTTCTTTGTCTGTTAGTTCAGAGAGGGGTAATTTTTCTGAGAAGTTGAGTAGGCAGTTTAATTATAAATTGAGTCATGTACTTCGTTGATCGTCTCCCATTTTAATTGAACTGGACATAAAAGGGAAGCTGAGGTGTTAAGTGTTCCCACTGTTTGCTGATGTTCAAAACTGTGCTATGCAGGCAGGGAGCAATGAAATTCCATATATACATGTGGACCATTTTGGCCCTCCACACATCTTGCACACACATTCACACATACACAGTATTTGTGAGAACTTGACCCAGGTTCTGTACTTGGCTCTGTGTAGGCCAGATGCAGAGCTCACTGAATTCAACTACACATTAAAATGTCAAAGCCTAAGTATACCAGGAATTCTTAAAGTTTGCAGAAAATTTTCCATCAGTTTGTCAAGGTGAGATAGCACTGTTGACACTACTGACAAAATTTGCATTGATTTGTTCAGGACTAATGTTTGACTTTTTTTTTTCCTTTTTTAACAGACATGTTGTCACTGTTGTTTGTTGGGAAAGGCTGCCCAAATTCAAGGACAGAGTTGTGAACCCAACCCGAAGATAGGATACCAGTGTGGAATTGTCTTCCGAGCTTGCTGTGTGAAGGGTCAAGAAGGCATTGATATGTCCATCAGTGATGATGCTCCTAAAAAGGAGCAAGGTATCTTATGTTGCAAATCATAAAAGAGTGAGACACAAAATGATGCGGGATACAAGGGGTGCTTGTACTTTCAATTATTTCTATTGGAATGCTGATAACTTGAGATCTCTGAGTAATTTAATGGTGCATGTTTTGGAGCTCTTTTTCTTTGGCTAGTGATAGCTAAACATATATATACCACAGGAGTCTAAAAGAGCTTGAAAGTGGTCACTCATCTCCTGTGGTCAGAATTTAACTATAAGGTAGATGATTTTGACCGCTAATGATCTTACCTACCTTGGAAACTGAGTATAAGCTATTCATTTTTAATAGCATTTTGCCCACTGATAAATTAACTAAAAAGAAAATTGACAACCGATTATTTTAATTGGATTTAAAAGTCAGGTGACGTTTGCCAGTTTGGCAGAACTCAGATGTTTCCTTTTGTGTGACAGGCAAATCCCCACAAGCTGGGGACATTTGAAATGCCTGGACTGTCTGGGAGAATTGAACATTTCCGGGAAATATGGTATCTGTGTTTCTTTTGACATTATGAGAAGAGAGAGGCATCTGGATGGCAGCAGCTCCTGACACCCTTCTTCATACCTAGTCCACAGAGTGAAAGAGAATGAGTGTTGACATACTGACCTTTAGAGACAGTAAGGGTTTGGGGTTTTTTTGCCTTTTTCACTTAGCAGACAGACTTGAAACTGCAGAAGAGTCATGTGGTGTAATGTTGCCTCCTTCATGGGCAGTTGAGCACCGAAAACATGAAGTCTGGCTTGCAATCACCAGTGACAGATTTTGGGAGACATCACCCTAATCAACCACTTACACTCAAACTCAAACCCCATCACAAGAGCCTGCATTGGTCTGCTTGAACCAGTGTGTTAGCAGACCTGTTTCAGGTCTTTCAAACCTGGCTTATGTCAGTGTATGCCCTTATCAGGTAACATTTAGAAATGCCCTGCCAGTTTCTTTGTCTACTGCTGTCTCAGTGGAGGAATTCCACTTGTGCATTAGCACTGTCTGAAGTGACTGGACTGGTAGACACCTTGTACTTAGATCACTCTGAAATTTGCAGACTGGGTTTACCTACATGTCACAAGAAGTATATCAACACCTGAAAATCCAGAATTGTGAGCACAATTTACAGTATCTCCCCACTTACCCTTTGTGGGCAAGTGGCACGCGTAATAACCGTTATGCATTGCAAAGATGGGACTATGTCAACAAGCAGAGCAGGACAATGTTCTCATCGTTCAACTAAGAAGCAAGCAGATGGTTGAACATACATCAGATGTCCCTATCAACAATAAAAATTGCCTGCAGAAAGGCAGAACAAGCAACATGAATTGACATTGAACATGAATTGACTTTGTTAGTCATAAAGATCAGTCTCCATTTTGTAAGGCAGCTTCATTCAACTAGCACCTTGTGTTTGTGTTATGCAATAGTAAGGCATGAAAGGCTTTCTGCTTCAGAGGGTAAGGCAAGCTGACTCTCTGTATGATGTTTCCTTAGTCACATAAAGAGTAATCTGGTACTCTGTCCTCAGAGATCTCTACAAAATCAGACCAGACTTGGGCAAACTGATTTCATTAGCTTTTGTGTGACCAAAACATACCCCTATGGCTTGAGGTCTCAATGTACCAACCTAGCTTTGTACCACTGCACCAAAACTTGCTTTCACATCCCTGATGTATTTCTTATTTGCTTGTAAGTGACTGCTGGCTGAATAGGCTTATAGACTGAGCTTCCTAGTTAATAACCAGAGTATTCTGAGATTGTGTTTTTACACATCTCACTACCAACCTATCATCTTCCCTGCTTTCAAAGTGGCAGAATTGGAGGAAGTCCATTAGCTAGTCCTTTGGGCAAGCAGTGGGCTCAGGCAGTGGATGTATTCAGCCCTTTTTACATCCTCCGTGTAGAGAGAAATAACTCTGAGGACACATGCATGTAGCAGAAGTACCCGCTGATCAAAACTCTTTGAGTTAGGGTGTATGAAGTACATTTGAAAGAATGCCACAAGTAGGTGCCCAGAAGTTGGGTGTGGAGTTCTTTTTGGAATGAAGTCTAAATAAATAACTGAGGTTAATCTAATTTTCATTAAAACTGTGAGTACCCCAAGCTACTATAAAGTCAGTGGAAGCCAAGCATGCCTCAACAACATGTCTTATGAAAATGAGGTTAAGTTCTGGTTAAAAGCCTAAGAACCTGCATTTGAAAATCTCAGCCCATATATAATCTATGATCACAGCATGACTTTCATATTGGATCAGTCAGATGGAAAATGCCCCCTGGCCATGTGCATTTGAATGTCAAATTTAAGTGTGAAATAGCTGTAAAATACGTAAATAATGCTCTTTAATTTTGTCCTGGTTTATACAAAACCCTGGTCTGAGTCCGGTCCCAAGCAGGCAGCTTTTTACTGTGAGAAGAAAAGTACTGTCTCCTGTAATGCCTATCTCTCTTTTTTTTAGTTGAAATTTCAAAGGAGGAACTAGACCAAGAAGATCCTTATCTGCATGATGGCTGCAGAGGTAAGTCAGGTGACTAGTCCTGTTAGCCAGCTCTTTTGTGATTGCCTCCAATAAAAGTGAAGCAAATTTAGATCTAGAGATTAGCCAAAAGCTTTTGCCTAGGCTAGTTATGGGTAAAAATAACAGAATGAAGATCCTTTCCAAGAAATAGTAGGCCATTATGTGATGCCTCAGTAGATCTTAAATACAGGGGAGGCATTTTCTCCCATAGTGGTTTGTCTTACCCAACTGAAGCTTAGGCTATACATAAAACTTTTATTTAACTTCTATTGGGTAATACCTCAGAGTTGTTACCCATTGAGCCCATGGAGTACTCTGGATTCTTCAGAACATGGGATCCTATACTAAACATACATTCTTTTATTCTCCTCTTGGGATGATCACAGTGATTGAATAGGAAATAAAACTTGTTTTCTTTTGAGATGCATCACCTGAAATAGAGGAAGAGTAGTGGCTATTGTCCTCATTAGTCAGGCTGTTCTGCCTCCTGGGAAGAATGTGTTACTGGGATATTGTTCTGCTAAGTATTCTGATTTATTGCTTGTCACATGTGATTTACATGTCTATAAACTTAAACCAGCAGTGATTTATTCTTTTCTACAAGCATTTCAAAACTAAGTAATGCATTTAGGATAAAATCAATTTAATAGACTTATATTCCAGTTGAGATGATTTACTGTGCTGCATGTTGTATAGCTATTACACTCTAGAGAGGATGGAAATGTCTACTAGGTCATTAGCTAGTCAAAGCCAACACTGGCTCTCCTCCTTGTCTCCAGCTGCTAATTGCAAAAGATGACATAGAAAAATGTGTTATATATTTTCCTAGTATTATTTCTTTATTTATTCAGTTGTTGCATTTGTCAGTTAATCAGCTGCCTGCAAGAGATGGATTGGTATGACTAATTACAAATTAGAGTTTCTGTCTACAATATATTTTCGGATAAACTTGTCATGCTGAAATTATTTGTGATTTTCCAAACTTCACCAGGGGAAACTTAAATTTCCTAGTCAGTGGAACTTTCAGCAGTTTGTTTTAAAGCACCTTCACAGTATATGAGGAAATGAATTCTGTTCTTCCAACACCTCCATGATAGGTTTTACCGTGGCTGACAGAAGCTCACAGTATCAGCAGAGGTTCAGAAAGCAGTAGCTGTCCATCTCAGCCACAAGACTATGGTTCCTTCTAACATCGTTGCCTTTGCCAGCACTGTGTACTGACCTGATTTTCTGTGGTGTATTAATGGCCCTGTCCTCATTACGAATTGTTGCACTTAAAAAAATTATTTTAATTCACTTAGAGGTTTAAAGTATTATAGCTGCGTTTGCCCACATTGATTGTGCTTATATCAAACCTTTTGTTTAATGCCTATCCAGCTACTCTGAAAAACAGAAGAAGACAGATTCTGTTTGTACTAATATCAATAACCTTAGAACAAATACTTGGAGATATATAACTTTTTCTCAATTGTGAGAATATGAAATGTTTTTAATATTTTTTTAACAAGATCAGAAAGAAGTAAGTCTTCTTAATGATGAGCCAAATTTTGTGTAAATTTCTTATAGTATCCTCTCTTTCTCTCTGCCAGAATAACACCAGCTCTCTTTCATATCCTTTGTGACTCCTGTGCACACCTCACTAGGTCCTTAGTACCCCAGTAGTAGGACTTGGTTCCTTCTTTGAAGCCTTTGTCACCCACAATACCCTGTTTTCTCTTTCATGTCTCCTGCCTGCTGAGTAGGAAAAGAGCACGTGCTATAGCTAATTCAGGAGCATGGTCCTAATAGTGATGGGCTAAAAATAAGGGCTAATGCAGCTAATACTCAAGATATTTCGTTAGCTTATGGCGATGCATCCTGTTTTCCTTGCTTTACAGTAATCACCATACAAAGTTTTAACTTGCAACTTGCCAGCCAAAACCTGAGGAGGTGTCTGAGTTCATCAACATTTTCCCTTCAACTTCTAACAATGATGGGCTATGAGTAACTCCTTGATTTATTTCCTTCTTGTATTCATTTTTAGAGCTAAAAGAATCCAGTGATTCCAAACACATCTTTCAGTATTTAGCCCTTTCCTTCTTTTGTATATGTGTGTGTTTAGTTATGTGCTTTTCTAAACAAATCAGCAAGCATCCTGTAAATGAATGGTTTGTTTCAGTTCCTGTGAAGACCCTAAGACTTCTTAAAATATCCAATTAGGTGGTGGTCCCTGCTCTCAGCAGTGCAGAGACACAGGATCCAGTTATGTCTGCTCCTGCTTTGTTGGGTATCAGCTTCAGCCAGATGGTGTCAACTGTGAAGGTAAAAGAAATAAAACCACTGACTCAGTTATCAACATCTTTGTTTTAAAAGAGCAAGAATAGGTATAAAAAGATCCAGACAGAGGAGATCAGAATATGCTTATGCCAGCTGGGGAAAGAGGTGAGATCATCAAAAGTTGATTCAAAGATTGTTGGAATGAGAATTGTGTGAAGATGGAGTTAAGAAATAATCAGTAGAAGAGATGGAGGATATAAAGTGGAGAAGAGGCATAAGATCTTTAATTTGTTGTTAATAAAACCAAAATAAAATACCTGTTCTCTTTTATAGTAGTAGGTAGTAATTTGTAAGGCAAGTGAAATAGAGTAGGGTTCTTCAGCTTGTTAAAGACACAACTGACAGAAAGGATTAAAGTTTTGTATCTTGTGAGTGGCATGGGAATAGTCAAGGGGGAAGAACTGTTAAGTTTTTCCCAGAAGAACTAGAGGGGCATGAAATTAAATGGGCTTGGATAGAGTTCATCGCACTTGACTTCAGACATGTGCAGTGTAGATATTTGCTTCTGAGCTAGTCAGCCTTGGATCCTTTTGTTGTTAACTGAGAGAAACAAGCACTTCTACTGCACAGTTTATCTTGCTTGTTCTGAGTAGCTATCCTAGGATGAAAAGCCTTACTCATCAGGAGAACCTTTATCTGTCATTGACTAAAAAGGGAGTCTGGGTGCGTAGCTCAGATACAACCTTCAGAATATAAAATAGATTTTAATGACTGGTCAGATTAACACTGACCTAGTGTAAAATATAAAAAGAAAGAATTTTTACATTTGATACACATGGATGCCACATTTTCTTATACATTCAAAGAGAAATTTAAAAATTAACAAAAATAAATGTCTGTCAGTAGCTATAAAGTAGAAAGTTGCAACTTGTGTCTCGGGGAGTCCCTAAGCCATATTTTGGTGGGTGGCAGAGCAAGGGAAGAATTTCTGAATGTTTGCCTCATTCATATAGTCACTATAATCATCTGCTACTGGACTCAGTCAGATGACGCTGGCCCTTTGCTCTCATTCAGTGCAGCTTCCTCCTCTTTCCTAAGCACAGTGAATCAGCAGTCATAAGTTCTGTTACCAACAGGGTCAAAATGTCTGTAGTGGCTCACGCTCTGACAACAGAGATGAGTAGCCACGTTGTGGGTTTGTGAGTGTGAGGCCAAATCCACAGCATTCTCTTTATCCTTAAGCTCAAAGTAATGACTGGACGGAGGTGTGCCCACAGCTAGCCTTTGACCTCATCTCTTCCCAGGGAATTAATGTTTGTTATTTACTCTCTTTTTCTTTTTTTTTTTTTTTTAAATAATTTTGCATATTCTAGATATTAATGAGTGTATCACTGGGACGCACAGCTGTGGGATTGGACAAACCTGTGTCAATACATTAGGATCCTTTCGCTGTCAGCGGGACACGAGCTGTGGAACTGGTTATGAACTAACAGATGACAGTCGTTGCAAAGGTATATCCTGCACAGAGAAACTGAAATCTACTAGACTTAACTAAAAAAATAAGTACATCATCACATCATGGTCATGCTCTTTTACTTTTGGTAAATACACGTGAGCTGTAGTTACACAGGGACACACAGACAGTGCTAGTTCTTCTGAGACAGTAGTTCTCTACCTGTCACCTTGCAGATACCAGATCAGGCTGCCTGTGGACTACTACAAAGCCTTCCAGGAGAGAACTACATTTATTTTACACTGGTGATTTGTGTTCCACAATAGGAGCTGATATGGGAAATGAAACAGTGGATTTTGAAGGCCCAGCACTCACACCATACACAGTTTTCTGGTGTTTACTTCTGGATAGCTCTAGTCTGGTTCTGTGAATTGGTTGTTCATTAGTGAGTGGAGTGCCTGAGTCCTGCTCCTGAGGCATATTTAATGTCTTAATTTCACCTGAAAGAATCAAGTTTGCATACTTTGGAGTGTGAAACGAAGTGTGGCAAGTGGAGTGACCAGGTGTTTCAATTTGAAAACGTTAAAGTAAATGCATCTTATAAAAAAGTAAGCCTTTATCCTCAGGAGGTTTAAATTTGTTACAAAAGGATTAATTTCTTAATCACAATATTCTTAAGGATTCAAAAATGAAAGAGTTTTAAAAACAGTGTTCTTGACTGGCTATGGTTGAACACAAGGGTAATAGTCTGTTTTTTTACTAAAGAAATGATTGAGTTCAAGTTGCATCTAGCTCAAAGTCTGCTGTTATATGTATCCATAACTTCATCTGACACACTACCTCCACAGGGATGTAATTTAGCAGCAAACTGCATTTGATGTGGAATTGGTTTTCACTATGAGAAAGTCTGTCCCACCAGAGCTTAGAATTGTTTATAAACAGACTAATTTCATTCCACTGAGTAAATTAACCAAAATTCTGGGTAAGGTTTTATTGTAGGAACTGATCAGTGATGAATAATAGATTGAATAAAAAAGCTGATGAACAAACTCTAACACAAAACCTCCAGAACATACAGACAATGTTTTTCAAAGTATGATGGTGTGACTTAGATCCCTTTGAAGTAAAATTTCTGCTGATTTGAATTACATGAGACTTAGGCCAACAAATAGCTTACCAGCAAGTATTAACAATCTTTCTGTGGTGGAAAAAAAAGGAGTGCAGACAGTAAATTATGCATGCCATTAATGTTAGAAATTTCTTATCTGGATAAGATATGTTAATAATGTTAATTACTAATGTTATTTTAATAGTGATGAAAATACAGAATGAATAATCTTCATGTATGATTTTTAAATGCCAAGTAAAATGACTGAGTTGTGCAACATGTAGAACCCTGCTGAACCCAATTCAGTATTAACCCATCCTAAACTTAAAACAGGCTCCACAATCATTATTTAAGTCTCACAAAGCTCTATGGATAAGAAATTGCATCTACTGTCGTTTAAACTGCATAAATGGAAAAGCTGAGGCGTCATATTTCTAGAAAGTTTCTGTATTTTACTAGCTTTAGGAGATTTCATCACATTGCAAGGCGTCAAACATTAAATTTTAGTTGCTTTTGTGTGGACAGGATTACATTCATGAATGAAGCCTCATTAGCCCTTGTCTGCTGTATCTGAACCATAAATTATTCACAAATATTTGTTGTCTATTCTGAACTGGAATGGAATATTCAAGTGAGCAGAAATCATATTTATTTACATTTTAAAGCACAGTAATTCAAGGATATTGCAAGCCTTAATATGGATGAGAATCAAGGCCAATTAATTTATGAAAGAAGTGAACAATGTCTGCATTGGATCTAAGGTTAAAATTAAAATTGCACTTGGGCATGTAATGAAATCTTACTGACTTCAAAGCTGAGCCCATGTATAAGCACAGTTCTGAATCAAGGCTGAACACTGCTGAACATGATGCTTCAGGTGCTCTATAATAATTTTGAATCATTTAATTTTGAGGACTTGTAAAGCATAACACACCACACCCCCCACACCCCTCCCCCCATATCATGTTAATAACAAAATCATAAAACCCCTTAACTTACTCTACCTCGTTTTACTGAGATTCTGTTTGAGGTAGTAGGTCAGATCGATCCTGGCCCACTGCATTGAATTGTATGAAGGTATGCTGGGGATTAATCTGTCTGACATTTTAAACTATATCTTATGTTTTCAAATGTGATGAAAAAGCTTCTGTCAAACCCCTGCTAACAATTTTTTTTTGTGATGTACCAGATATTGACGAATGTGAGACTGGTACTCATAACTGCCCCCCCGATTTTATCTGTCAGAATACTCCAGGATCTTTCCGTTGCCGACCCAAGCTACAGTGCATGAATGGGTTTATACAAGATGCGCTAGGCAACTGTATTGGTAAGACATATTCTTATCTCAGTGAATACTTAAGTGTTGCTTACGAGATAAGTTGTAGTTTCACTGGGTGAGTTCCGAGCTTCTCAAGTGATTCTTCATGCATGTGTGCATTGCTCTGTTATGCGTTTTCTCTGCTTCTTTAAAGGCAGGCGTGGTCCCACAGGTAAGATTTACAGATGAAAACCATTTAAATAAAAGACTTAAATACGAGATCTCTATTTTTAGTGAGATTTGGTTACTTAAGGCACTTAGCCGCATTTGAACATTTTCCTTTAGTCTTGGGGTATTTTATCCAAAACGAAATTTGTAAAAAATTTGTGATATATCTCCCTCTGTCCAAAAGGTTTTAGCTAAAGCTTAGTATAAAAAGCTGTAATTTATGACATCCTCTGTAACACACTGTTGATATAAGTATGTGAGGTTTTACATGTATGTAGGTCTTTCCAGACCTGTCCTTCATTAGTTAAAGCCTATCAAGAATCTTACTGTGTATGAGAGTGATGGGCTAGTTATAACACACTGTGGAGAGGAGTTTTATTTTAAAGACTGATTACAATCTGTCAGGCTAATGCCTTGTTTCTAAGACTCCTACAAAACAGAATTATAACCTTTATATAAATATGTTAGAATTAGTGGTTTCCAGCAGACTCTAAATGGAATTGTCTAATGTGACCTACAAATCTATCAGCTATTCCCTTGAGTAGTGTTTTCAAGTCTCAACTTAACTTTGAATTCTGCCATCGGCGTAGTGTGTCTTGGACTTGTGGAACTGGCTGAGCGGCAGCAGCTGCCAAGTCTAGTTCAGTGTCAACCCCTCGTTCTCCTGACCATACCATACCCTGTAGTGCCGAAATCCGACACTGCAAACACTGAGACTGAAAACAAAATTGCAGCCTTTAAAATGGAGGGGGCCAGTGCCTGTACGCAACAAGCCTTTTGAAGATGTGTATCTGCCATAGCTAGCACCAGGTCCATTGCAATTAGGAGTTAGCTTGCCTTCACTGACATTGATAAAGCCACATCACTTTGCAGCAGCAATAGTTATATCCCCTAAAAGGCATTTACTCAAAATATTTACCAAAAGAATTTCACAGGCTGATTTTACACACTGAATCAAATGCTGCCCTATGTCATGTTGAGGAGAAAGAGTATGAAAACTTTCTGGTCTTTCCAGTGTCTTTGTAAATTGAAAATTCTACACTCTAGTGAGCTGGGATAGGCCTGGCTGAAATGTTCATATTATACTATGTCCCCTTCCCCATCTTCAGGCACCAAACATTTTGCAGTCTGGGTGCTGTACTTAATACCATACCATACCAACTAGAAAGCAATAGCTCCTCAACAGTTAACAGTACCACTGTGTAAAATTAAAATATCCCAGTGAAACAGTTGAGAAAATTTTAGGCAGAGAAGTACTCACATGAAACTGGACTTTGCTGAAGGTTATGGGATGCAAGTGCATACACTCAGAAGCAGTGCTGCTCCTACAGACTGTCAGGCCTAAGTTACATTAACATTTCCAGGTAGCAAAGGCTGCCTCAGTACCTCCTGTAGTGACAGATTCCCAAGACTAATAGCACATGCTAACCTTGCATAACAGTGAGTTCCTTGCCTTCTTGGCTAGATACACCGCACTAGATCATACCCTAATACAGCTTAGTCTCTTCTCATTACATTTTCTGAGATTTTACTTTATAGGGTGTTTTTACCAGGCAAAAGTTACCTTTGTCACAGAGTGGTATGTTGTCCAGTTTGTAAAAAAAGAGACGTATGTTTGATGGATGGTAGAGGGCTGCATGGTCTTGTGAATACAGAAATAAGCTATTCGCATTCTTATGTGTTTCCATGACAACTACTGTAAGACATGGTAAAGTATTCATGATGAATACCTGTGAGCAGTAGTTTATCTCCCTGTAAAGATGGTGTCATCTACTACCTCTATGAGCATGTACTACCAAATAGCCCATTCACTGTGAGCCACAACCCACAGACTGCAGCAAAGCTGTTTGAGCTGGTGAATTGAATTGTTGATCATCCTTTCATATGTTTAGGGGAGACTTTCTAAGGCTTTTAAAGAAATGTAATTTCTGTTCTTGATTTCCACTGCTTATTATTGGGATTTGGGCCTCTCATACCTCTTCTGACCTTCACCCTGGAAGCGTTATATCGGTGAAGCTAAATAGCACGAATAGTTGTACTCTCCCACAGGCAGAACTTTGTCAAACTGTGAAGGATTATATCAGTATGTAAACCTCTGAAAGATGACATAAGGAAAGCATCTTACCTTAAACATCTTCAGACAGCAGATAGTTACACTGACTTGTTGTGCTCTTGTAGATATCAACGAATGCCTGAGCACCAACATGCCATGCCCAGCCGGGCAGATATGTATTAACACTGATGGCTCGTATACCTGCCAGCGTATCTCACCCAGCTGTGGCCGAGGTTATCATCTCAACGAAGATGGAACAAGATGCGTAGGTAAGTAACAGTTTGGAAGAAAAAACAGTTTGAAGAAAATAGATTACTGCTATTGTTTACCAGTTTCTTGCACATTGCCCAAGTTTCTCTCATTTCTACAGTCAGTTTGTGATACTGTTCTTTCCCTCATGGCAGTCCCAACAGGTGAGGAATGGCAAGGATCCACTCTCTGTCCTTCATATAACTCATGAAACCCTATATTCTGAGAAGAGAATAAATCATGATCAGCCCCCAGAAGTGGCGTTGTCTGTGCTTATATTAGTGTATTGGAACAAATTTTCTGTGGTCTCAAATCTCCTCAGCACAGAGGTATAACACAAGGTCCACTTAATGTCCCACGGAAGCCACTCAAGTAATGTTGAAAGGCATAGATGCCTTTGGCTGGCTTGTAACAAAGATGGCTTTTGCAAAGAGAGGTATTTTTGCATATGTTTTCAAGTTTTGTAAATGGCTTGTCAACGCACTGCTGTCTGTGGGTCTCTGGCATCTCATACTAGCTGAAGATCAGATCCAAGAATATTGAGTGTGCATAAGAAAATAATTTTGCACCTGATTTCCTCTAAAGATTGTCTGATTTTGTGATTTCTTTTCCCTCCCAAGTCCATCAGTAGTAGGATACCTGAGAGATAACCTGCTTCAGTAAGAATAGTTTGGACTTGTGATTCTGATCTTCTTGTAGAAACTGAGAGCTAGATCAAAATCTTGTTTTCTGTTTCAAAACACTTTATAACTTCTAGGGGACACAGAATCATGTTAACATGTTGCTCTTCTCTCAACTTGCATGCTCAGAAGTGTACTTGGAATAATTTCTCTCACTTTTTTAGATGTGGATGAGTGCTCATCCTCTAATCAGCCTTGTGGAGAAGGACATGTTTGTATAAATGCCCCAGGCAATTACCGTTGTGAGTGCAAATCTGGCTATTCTTTTGATGTCATCAGTAGGACTTGTATTGGTAAGTTGCACCTATCGACTTAAACACATGCAGCCATGGCATTTTAAAAAATGATCCTGTGTGAAGAATGTTACTGCTCTCTGCATAACCTCTTTCATCTGAATGTAAAATTGACTACTATATTATTTTGTATAAATCTAATACCGTATTAAAGAGCTGCTGATACTTCAAAGGAAACTGTATTAGTATTGTCAACATGTTATCTGTTATCCTGTTAAAAGGTAAGATTATGAGAGTGTGTGTAATTGTTTTCTATGATATTTTTATATGCACCTACAGCAAAACATTCCTTTGGAAGATCAAAGCAACTTTCTTCTTTATAGATCTAATTCAATTATGCTCTGGGGTGTTTCTAAGTGAGCATTTTGAGCAAGTCCTTCCCTCTCTAGTATGAAATTTAGATCTGGAAAATAAAAATCAAACTTTTATGACCACATTCGTGTCCGGACTACTACTGCAGAGAAGCCAGCCAATAGATAGATCTCTCTCTATATTTATCATTGCAGATATCAATGAATGCAGACGCTATCCAGGCCGCCTTTGTGCTCACAAGTGTGAGAATACTCCTGGTTCCTATTACTGCACTTGTACCATGGGATTCAAACTTTCAACTGATGGCAGGTCATGTGAAGGTACAGCTGTCATATGCTTTGGCTATATAGTGTGAGATACAGCTCATTGCTTTTTCTTTATTTCTGTTTGATTTTAGTTTACAAGAGTACACTAGAATGGCATGAGAAATAAACCCAGTGTGGTCTCTTTGATTACATAAATGCTGTTATGATTAATAATGGCCACTGTAGCCCATAGTTCAAATATATTGCCCTTAGGCTGGATCATGCAGAGGTCTATGTGTCTGCATTTACTGCATTTTGAAGGGTGATTCAACTAGATCAGATTCAAGACCTTCAAAACCAGTCTTGCTGATACCCAAAATGCAAGTGCGGTCCTAGAGACTCCCTCCAAGTCACACACCTTGAAGGACAGTTGGAGGTAATGGCACACTGCATATTAAGCTATACTGCCAGACCCTGCTGAGAGTAATACACCAAAGCTCCCTATTTTCAGCTTACTCAGTGACGTGTGTACCACACTTTTTTAACTAAAAAAATTGTCTTCCAAACTTTTGTCTTTGTCTTGTAATAGGAGTGATGAATATAGCAAGAAATTTGGGGTTCAGATATATAATTTTGCATTTCAGATTTAAATGAGTGTGAGAGCAGCCCCTGTAGTCAAGAGTGTGCCAATGTGTATGGCTCCTATCAGTGTTACTGCCGCCGTGGCTTTCAACTCAGTGACATAGATGGGATTTCATGTGAAGGTAAGCATTATCATTTTGCAGATGAAGCATGAGTGAGCATTTCTTATTCTCACCATAATGTACATTAACAATTCCATGTAGCTGCAATTGTTTCACTTTAATGTTTTATTCTCTTTAGTATTTTCCTGTGACACTATGAAACTGTATTTTATGAAGGTCTCCCAGCTATGTCCTAGTCTAGAAATATCTCTGTTTGTGTGGTGTCAGTTTTGCTGTTCACACTGAATTGTAGCTTGGCATACTTCTGTAACTTGCCAGAAATGTTTTGTTTGTTTGTTTGTTTGGTTTTTTCCTGAGGAACTAACAAAATTTGTAGTCTTCAGCAAGTGAAGATACAAGCACATGTACATGTTACATATGTAATATACAATATTACTAGGTAGCATTTTATATATCCTCTTTTTGTGGCTGGTTCTGAAGTAGTGTGTAAATAGGTTCTCCTCAAATACAAGGAGGTTGGAGGTGTGATCCTGTGGACACGATCCTGAATTTGGACATGGGTCTCCAGAACTTACAAGACAGTAGCACCTTGGGCAGAACACCTCATGTCGATTTCCTTTTTGTGAGAACAAGAATAAACCTATTTCTCTCCTTTCCTTTTGTAAAGTACTACGATACACATCACTGTACAGTGCTTGCTCTTATCCATTTACTTTGTTTCTTGAGCCCTTACATTGCTTTTCATTTTCTTCACACCTCCATTTATTCCTGACAGCCTTTATTGACTAGAGCCACACCTGTTTGATGATCTTTTTCTTTGCCCAGCAATTACAATAATGAAACTGTGTTTGAAGCTCACAGCAGGAACACCGTACATGTGCACTTGATTGAATGTCATGAATACATAGTAAATTAGTGGTGTGTTCTTCTTGCAGATATTGATGAATGTGCTTTACCTACTGGAGGGCATATCTGTTCCTTTCGATGTATTAATATTCCTGGGAGTTTTCAATGTACTTGTCCCTCCACTGGTTACAGGTTGGCACCCAATGCACGCAACTGCCAAGGTGAGTTCAATAACTGCAGGGAGACATAACTGGATTGTGGAGTTCTGAAGTTCTAGCAAGCTTTTACGTTTATAAAAAAAGCCTTTCCTACAACACTGTAGGCAAAGCAGTAAATATCAGCTTGAAATCTGAAGAAATGAGTATTTTATAATAAATATACAGGAAATGTATAAATGATAGAATGCAGTAGAGAATACTTTTTATACCATTATTAAAGTATTAGAAAAAATAATAAAGATTCCTACTGTGAAATGGTATGAATTAGTTTAGCCATTAAAAGGAAATATGCTGTAAACATTTCAGCAAATATTTAGGTCTTGTCCACTTAGTGGCACTGCTGCTCTTCCTTTTTCTGTTCTTGCTTGTTGTTTGGGTTAGTTTTCTTTTTGTTTTGCCCTCCTCTTCCAATTCTGTAATAATGTTTAATTGCACGCCATGTGCTGTAGACCCTAGTATGATACTTTTATCATCTTGCACCTGCAAGTAGAGGAAAGGCACGTGTTTGATCCACTCATCTTTTCCCCTTTGGCAGATATTGATGAGTGTGTTGCAGAAAGCCACAACTGCTCTTTCAATGAGACCTGCTTTAACATCCAGGGGGGCTTTCGCTGTCTGTCTTTGGAATGTCCAGAAAATTACCGCAAGTCAGGAGATACGTAAGTACTTTATTTTTCAAGGTTGAACAGTTTTTTGGTGACATGGTCTCCTTTATGTCATGACACTGCCAACCGAATACATAAGAGATTCTGGCAAATACATATTTTATTGGTAGGCCTACTGTATGTTTTGCACACACAGGTCTGGTCCCTTTGTCATGCTCCTGTTTCAGACTAAGAAAAAGGTATTACCTTAAAAATGCCATGTGTCACTGATTTGTATCGTAATCATCTCTAGAGCCATAAGCAGATGTGCTCTCTCTGGCTATCTTGCAGGCAACCTGTTAGGAGTGTTACATTCAGCTTCAAAATTCAGACTTTTATTTCCTTTCACATGTAGTCTTTCCTTACTATTACACTCCAGTGAAAGGGTTCTTTTTAGCTTCCCCTCTGAATTCTTACCAGTGCTGTTGCAAAGCATTGCGGCAATGTCTGCTTTTTAGTACCATTTCATCTGTTATAAAAGCTGTGAATCCTAGCAAGGGTGGTATGTTAGCTGCTGCTCATATTTGTGTCTCAGCCTAGCTCAGAGGAAGTCTATGCATTCTAGTGTTGAAAATATGAGACAGCTCTGGGAGGAGGGGCAGCTGGCAGCTGATTTGTACCCATCAAATGGTGCTATCAAAGTGCAGTTTATGGCTGATGCAGATAACTGCTTTTCCTCCCACCCTGTTGCTTTATGGCCACCCTGTACTCCAGCGATTCTTTCAAAGGCTGCTCCACGATCCCCCCCACGTGCCCCATACCCAGGTAAGTGTATGCTCTGCCAGCTAGGGAGGAAAGCTGATAAATCACATTTGTCATCAGCCTGCTATTGCTTTCACAGTCAATGCTCATGTGCCCACCATCTTTTAGATAAAATTGAGTACTCTGTGCTGCCTCTATAGAATGAAGCTAATGCTAATCATCATAGTGACTTTGTGGGAATTAGTTTGTTTCCATTTAAACCTTAATCTGTGAAATGCCATATAAGTGGCACAGCAGATGTATTTGATCAGAAATGCTGTAGAGGGAGTTAATGGTAGAAAAACAGGTATTTATAAAATATGCTTGTGTTCTGAGAAGTGTCAATAGTAATTAAATTTTAAATTATATTTGTCACATCAATAAACAAGCAGTGTCTCATGATGCAGATGTTCTCTCTATTTGTAATATTGTGGGTTCATTTAAATCCTAATTAAAAAAAAGTAATTTGCAATGAACCACTAAGCAGAATTATCATATTTCTACTCTTATGGACACCCCTGTGTTGCAAATATCAGTTTATAGAGTACTCATAGTACACACACATTCCATTTCATCTTCTTCCTTATCTATATTTTTTGTGCATGTGTTGAATATCGGCTATTTGAGATGTAAGGGATCTTTTGGGGAAGCAGTAGAATGTCTGAACTGTTTTCTGTGTCTGGATTGTTGGGGCCCTGTAATGGTTTACTCTGCCTAACTTGAACAGACTCACAGGGAGAGATTCTTCTGATGTGCTAGGGCTATAATTAGGCTATGAGTCAGACACAAATGCTGTAGCTGCTCAGTGAAGTTCTAATTATTTTAATTCCTTGAGTTATTATCTTGTTGGATTTATTAGGTTTTTCCCTCTCAACAGATACAGACACAGTTACTAAATTTATTCTCAAAACTGCATTTGCATAAACCAGAGAGAATACAAGTTCATTATCTTTATTGCTAAAAGTCCAAGTTAGTTCAATGAGGAGATAGGTACTCTCATACTTATCCAGTATACAAGTATTAGAACAACATGCCGGAATCAAGGTTTTTATGTATTGGGTTACCTTGTGCCCACTGGGGAACAGTTTCGTAAGACAGCTCTTTAGCACCCTTTTTTACATCCAATTTACATATTCTCGAATCATTTATTTTTATCATATCTAACCCATCATAGCTGATAGCTGGCATGTCTTCATTAGCTTTTTTGTGATGATGAAATTAAATGACTTTTTCACCTAACCTTGTGCCAGGAATCTAAAATCAAAATAGTTGATTTTTCATAACATTGTATCTATTACAGATAGCATTTTCCTCTATTTTTTATTCAAAACACATTCCAGTTTCACCAACTTGGCACATCACAAGAAAGGCAACACATTTTCCATTCCCTTCAAGTTGGCATCTCATGAGATTTTTTACCTTATTCTCCAATATTTTCTTTGGTACAACTGTAATTTAATAGGCCTCAATTATGCAAATCCAAGTTTATTCATTCTGTTTTTTCCTTAAAATCCTTATATACAGGCAACAGCCCTCAGAAATTTCCTTACCCAGTACCTTTAAAGCAGAGATTTTTGCATGGTGGCTATTGCAGTGGTGATTGTCATCAAGTGAAGTAATTGCAGGATCATCCCATGCTACAGGCTGAAAGCTCAGGATGTTGTATAGATACTCTGAGCTCCAGGAGGAAACAGCCTGTATAACCTTCCCCAAAGACCAGCAAAGTACCTGGCACGGTGTGATCCTTAATGATAACAATTTTGTTGAAGGTCTTATCTCTTTTGCTTAAATTCTGCCTTTTTTTTTTTTCCCCTTGATCAGCCTATAGACTTGGTATTTTTCCAAGGATAATTAAGATCTACTGCTACTCACAATAGGACTTAAGTTGCTGTACTGCCTTGCCAAATACTTTTTGTTTTCAAACTGCATAACAATTAAATTCTCTTTATGTGACACTGAAGTCTAACATTTGTAATATTTAAGCCAAGAAAAATAGTAGAAAAGATGAAGAAGCAGTTATGGCGGTGTGTCAGAAATGTGTGCCGCATTGAGCCAGATTGGGAAATATTTTTATATTCTAGACATGTCTGCATATTAAGATTGTGTGTCACTCCTCATCATTAGGACCTGTTTTTAACTGCTTAGCATTTTGCCAAAATGTAACCAACGGCTGAAATTTTACATGTAAGGTGTCTGACTCAGGCTCAAGTTTTGGCATATTTCAGCCAAAGCTGTTCACTAATTTCTAAGAACAAGGGTAGGGAGGAACACATTGTTTTGTGTGTTCAAGACATTTTGATGATTTTTTTTTTTTTTTTTTTTCCCTTTTAGCATGTTTTGGAGCAGAAATCTGAAATTTGTTGGGAGATTACTTATGTGCTTTTGTCATCCTTATCAGAAACCTCTGAAACTTCTGAAATTACAAACTGTAAAATTGCATTTAGGCTTTTTTCATAAACTTTAGGAAATGAGTACCATGATGGGTAATCTTAATACACCTCTGTATGCCAAAACAGAGTCAAGTCTACCTGGAGTATTTCTGAGAGTTGTTTAACTTTTGCTTCAGGTCCTTGAATGATAAGGATTTCATAGCTTCAGTGGCAATCTGTGTTTGACTATCTTCCTCAGTGCAATTTAATTCTTCCTATCAGTAGAGAGGTCTTTCTTTTTTAGCAACAAACAATGCTCTTCTGATTTGGCAGACGTGAGCTTCTTGCAGCAGTTCAAAGCAGTCTAAAATGTGCAGGTACCAACTCCACAGGCTGCCTGAGCCTGCTCCCACATAGAGCCACAGGAAAGAAGCCAGATCTTCCCCATAATGTCAGCTTCTATCTGTCCTGGGCCAGGTGCTGCTGGCCCTGACAACCCCAGGGCCTGTTTCTTCTGTGCTTTCAAAGAAGTCTGAAGGTATGACCAGGTGAGGAGAATGAATCTGTGAGATGCTTGAGGGGTAGAAGGTAAAATTGGGTAAAACAATTTAGAAACAAGGGGGAGACCAACCACAGAAGTCAGGAGCTTATGGTTAAGGGTGGATTGATGCCAGATTTGGATGAAGACCATCAGGGCCAGGAATAATTTGGGATGGCTGCATCCCCGAGGAAAGGGATGTGTGTTTTGGGACTAGGGCTGTGAGACAGAAACTGAGAGAACCGAGTGCCAGCGAGGAGAGGATGGAGCAAGAAGAAGAGAAGTGGCACTGTTTGAGTAGAAGGTCCTGATGCCAAATGTTTGAGTGAGCAGGAAGGGCAGTAGGCAAGGAAAGGGGATAGGAAGAAGGAGCCAGGTTGGGAAAGACAGATGAAAGAGGCAAGGATAGGACATAAAGGCTCAGTACTGGGGGCAAAAGGAAGATGGGTCTGTCTCTTCTATAGCTTGAAAACTCCTTGAGACTTTCCCGCTCCACACAGGAGGAACATACAGAGTATTTGTTCACCCTATCTACTGTACTGCTGTATACTGTAGTCCCGCTTGAGCCTGAAGTGAGACTCGAGATTCTCCTCTGGTTAAGGAATATCTGTGAAAGCCGACCATCAGCTGGCTTCATTCCCTTTAAGTTCTGGTCTGTTTAAGACAAAAACCACCTTCCCTACACAGCTACTCTATTAACATAAAGGTAGAGGACCACCATGTGGTGATACAGCCTGGCTGATGGCTCACCTGGGCCTCGAGGTGTGGTGCAACCTGCTGAAAACAAATACAGACAGATGATAGCATAAGTGAGTGCCTTTGCACTGGAGTATATTCTAGGAGGTTGAGAAGACTGTTACAGCTCTAGAAATCAGCAGGGTCGAATTTCAGAGATGTGTGGTGTGTAGTTCACTAATAATACTTGATTAGTCATTCAGCATGTTGAGATGGTTCCCCTGTATGAAATAAATTCCAAAGCCATAAATCCTGCTAAAAAGTTCTTTTCCCTTCAGTGCATGAGGAATTGTTGTATACCACTCAATTCCTTTGGGCACAATAGAAGAAATTGCCTCTGTACCAAGTGAAAACCAGCCTCAGAAATTAACAGGAGGGAAGGCAGAAAATATTTTCTCCTAATTTCTCTGTTAGGAAATGTTCATTCATTATCTAAAATGGAATCTCTCTAGTTCTGGTAGTTTTATTTTCCTCTATGAGTAACCAGTGTTTGATACATGAAATTCAAACGATGAGTAATTCCTTGAAACCGGTATTTCACCCACATAAATAAATCTAAGAGAACAGAGTAGTAAGTGAGCTAAAACAATCAGGAATGAATTTGGGGATAAGCGTTTAGCAGCATTATATGC